CCACTCCATCCCGCCCCCGCCTCCTCTGGCCCCACCGCACTGTGGTCTGTGTGCCTGGACTATCTATTCTCTTCACAGCCCGTGTCCCCCACGCCCTCCCGCCGTCAGTCTGTCCTCAGTATCCATGCCTCTGGCTCTATTTTGTTCCTTTCGCTGTCCTTAGTTTGCCCTCCTTCCTCTTCCTTTCTCCTCTTTCAGCTCCGCCCCTGAAACGCAGCCGGCCAATTCTGCAAGAGAAAGTCCCCTTTTCCCCCCCAGCCCCCCTCCCCCAGAGCAGGCCCCTCCTCTAGGAAGCGCATCATAGGGCGCAGGTACAAGAGGGGGGCAGTGTGAGGATTGCATATTCCAAACCCTCCACTGGCCCACGATGGGAGAGCGACGCTCCGCCCTCTCCAGCCGCCTCGCAGAGCGTCTGCCTCGTGCCTTTGCAGTTTTGACACTTTGCTTGCATCCTGAGGCGGTCCCCTCAGCGACCTCAAGGGGTGCAGGGCGGCAGGCCCTGACTGCTTGCACCCCCTTCGGGGCCTCCCCACTCCTCTCCCTGGAGTGGATTTGAGAGGAGGCTTTTCCAGACAAAAATCACATGTTTTCAGGGTTATTGTTTTTAATGGGATAATGCTTTGGGGTGTTTTTTTTCTGTTACTTTTAAATTTCAAATATCTTTATAACTTGACCACCACCACCCTCTTTTGTTGGCGCTCTGGGTGCTGATGAGAGACAGCCTCCCTCTCTAGCTTCCGCCTTGCCCCTCGGAGGGGAGGGCCTGGGAGGAGGGAGAGGTGCCTGAAGAGCCGGGCAGGGGGGAGGATGGGGTGGCCTGGGTGGAGTTGAGGGAGACTCCCCCCATGATCAGGGCTGAAGGAGAAAGAGAAGAGACTTTAGGTGTGAGATGGACCAGGAGGGACAGGTCAGCTTCAGGGTTTATAGGGAAATGACACTGTTGGAATTGGGTTGAAACGAGAAATAGGATGCCCAGTTGTCTTGAATGAGAGATATTCAAAGTGCAATATGGGTCCCAGAGGTTAGGGAAGAGCTATGCCTGGTGGCTTCTGATGGTTACAGACCGGGGGACTCCATGGGCCGGTAGAGCCACTGGGGTGAGGGGATCCCTGAGTCTGCGGACACTGTGCTCAGGGTTCTCATGGCATCTCCTCTCCCCTTCTCTCCGCAGGCAGGCATGACCCTGCTCTTCCTGGTGGGCTGCATCTTCTTCCCGCTGATCTTTGCTCTCCTCTGCTGGGGCCTGCAGAGCCACTCCAGCCTGCGGATGCCGAGGCCAGAGGCTGTTTTGGTGGCATCCAAGTAAGAGGACAGGGTGAGGGCATCCTTCTTGGGGCCAGGGTTCTGCAGCTGGTCTCCTTCCAGGAAGGGTTAGTGGTGAGAGCAGCTCTCTCTTGTGTGTGTGTGTGTGTGTGAGTGTATGTGTATGTGTGTGTATGTGTGTGTATGTGTGTATGTGTGTATGTGTCAGTGTGTGTGTCTGAGTGTGTGTGAGTGTGTGTATATGTGAGTGTATGTGTGTGTGTGTGTATGTGAGAGTGCGTGTGTGTGTGTGTGTGAGGGTATGTGTATGTGTGTGTATGTGTGTATGCGTGTATGTGTGTGTGTGTGTCTGAGTGTGTGTGTGTGTGTAGGGGTGGGGAGATTCAATAGTCAAAAGACACTGGCTGTGGAATATTTTGCAAGTCATTCAGCATCTGTGAACTTTGGAGTCCTCGTTTGTAAATGGGTTTAATAAGAATACCCACCTTTGCCCAACTGGTGAGCACTGGCTTATGAACCAGGAGATCACAGGTTCGATTCCCTGACAGGACACATGCCAGGGTCCTGGGCTTGATCCCCAATCGGGGGCGTGCAGGAGGCAGCCAATAGATGATTTTTTCTCATCACTGATGTTTCTCTCTCTCTCCTTCTCCCTTCCTCTCTGAAATCAATAAAAACATATTTAAAAAAAAAAACCACCTTCCATTCTTCAAGGAGATATGTGAGGGTCAGATGAATCATGTTTACAAAGTGAGGGTTGCAACCTCCTGCAAGTAACAGAAGGGGCGTTTGTTGGGACTTCGTGAGTTGGAGGGAGGACTCGTGTTCATTTATTAAATGGGGGAGCAGCTGCTCAGCTCCAACCAAACATTATGGAGTTAAAACGTGGGCCCAACGTTGTCTGATCTTCTGATTCTTTCTTAGAAGTCGGATGTTTAGGTGAAACCTCCTAATTTTCAAACACTGACAAATAACCTAGAACTTAAGAAACCACTGTATTGGCCAAACAAAGCATGTCTGTCTGTAGGCTGGACTGGGCCCTGGTGCTGTGAACCTGTGGCCTATTTGACAGAGTTTAACATACATGTGAGCTTTCGTCAAACCTCAGGCTGGAGAGAGAGAGAGGGCTGCAGGGCGGAATTTACCTGGGCGTCTAGGTGAGTTCCCGGGAGACAAAAAGCTCTCTCTGCCTTAACCCGCATCTCGGCCAGGTTTGTGGTCCTCCGCTGAGCAGTCAGGGTTGCTTGCCACCACCCACCCTCCCCCAGCTCTGCACCTGTGTGTGGCTTTGCCATTCGCTCACTGTGGAGTTGTGTGAACATAGGTTTGAAATCCAACTTTGCCAGCTCTGGTTTGTCTTGGGCAAATTTTTCTTCTTGTGTGTTTTTTGTTTGTTTGTTTGTTTTAAAAAATATATATTTTATTGATTTTTTACAGAGAGGAAGGGAGAGGGATAGAGAGTCAGAAACATCGATGAGAGAGAAACATCGACCAGCTGCCTCCTGCACACTCCCTATTAGGGATGTGCCCACAACCCAGGTACATGCCCCTGACGGGAATCGAACCTGGGACCCTTGAGTCCGCAGGCCCACGCTCTATCCACTGAGCCAAACTGGTCAGGGCTGTTTGTTTTTTAATCTCTAAACCTAGTTTCTTGTTTGTAAAACAAGCGTACTACCATCCGGGAAGATGAAGAAAGAATGCCGTAAGTCCCCTTGCCCGGTGCTGAGCGCACAGTAAACGCTCCCCAAGCTGGGTCCCCTTAAGGGAAGCCCTGAGGTCAGGAAGCTAGGTCCACTGTTGTTTTAAAAATTGTCCCTGACCCCTGCCAAGGCCAGACGCCTCTTGGGGTCTGTTCCTGCAGCTCGCCACGAGGGGGCAGCGTGCAGTAGCAAATCCCAGCTCTTTGACTATCGGGT